GACGGGATGAGATCTTGCGTGGAGCCCCAGATCGAGGGAGATTATCAGTGGTCTTGTATGTCTTCCATTTTCTGATGATTGCTCCCACAGTTGATTTTTTCACACCAAGCTGCTTGCCTATTGTAGATTCACTCTTCCCAGTCTGGTGCAGGTCTACAATACTTTTCCTGGTGTCCTTCGAAAGCTCTTTGGTCTTGGCCATGGCGGAGTTTGGAGTCTGACTGTTTGAGGCTGTGGACAGGTGTCTTTTATACAGATGATGAGTTCAAACAGGTGCCATTCATACAGGTAACGAGTGGGGGACAGAAAAGCTTCTTACAGAAGACGTTACAGGTCTGTGAGAGCCAGAGATTTTCCTTGTTTGAGGTGACCAAATACTTATTTTCCACCCTAATTTACGAATAAATTCTTTACAAATCCTACCATGTGAATTCATGGATTTTTTTTTTCACATTCTGTCTCTCACAGTTGAAGTGTACCTCTGGTGCAAATTACTGACCTCTGTCATCATTTTAAGTGGGGGAACTTGCACAATCGGTGGCTGACTAAATACTTTTTTGCCCCACTGTACTTTAACATGGTGGGAAATAGTAGAAGCAGCTGTGGGTGGACTGGCCAGAGTTTCAGTTTTTTTTGTTGTTGTTGTTGTTTTTTGGCATTAGATTAGAAGATTAGCCTATATCAGAAAAAAGTACCAAACGAGCATTTGAATAACCATTCCTGGAAAGTTCTAGTGTGTTCTGTTTTGACCAAAATATTTTGCCAAACCTGTTTGTTGTTCATTCACGCCCTCATCATCAAACTCGTCTTTCATCTCCAGCAATGCGTAAAACTCTGCGTCGGCAATCAGGGCTGCTAATCATCTCTGCAATTACATCATAATTGTGTTTAATGACAAAATAAATGCTGAAGGAACAAACAAACAAACCAATCTTCAGTTCCATCATTCATCTTTAAGTGTATGTGTGTCAGCTGGTTGTGGTAATGCTACTTGGATACGTGGTGACGGCGCTAAAGTGTAGCAGATTAAACTTAATCAATTCAAGCACAGTGGGAGTCGTGCTGTGCTTATCCTTAAATTACTTTACATTACAAACTCTTGTTTTTTAACTTAACTTTTAACAGAATGATCTCCTTTGTGTGTTATGGCCCATTGCCAGTCATTCAGGAAGGTGGAGTACTGTGACTTAAAACAGTTTTTTTTGTTTTTTTATTGTGGAAATGTTACAGAGTTTTTCTTCCTTTGGAATTGAGGACTGTTTTTTCAAGTATGTCCAGGAAGATATGAGTGAGGCGGCGACTATCACTGCTGAATTCCAATGATTCCTGCAGAGGATGCACGTGAGATGAAGAGGTGGATGTGAGGGAGAGATGAGGTGGAGTTTTCTTTAGAGCCTGTAACTACAGTATAAAAGCCTTCAGCTGAAGGATCTCTAGAGCAGCTCTAGAGAAGCTGGGAGCCGTCTCTGCCTCTGCCTTTTCTGGGACAAATGCCTGGACCGAACTGCACAAAGGTAGGGGCACTGGTGTTTAGCAAAGCCTCTGGAAGTCCAGCAGGGCAGTTAATGATTTTTCTTTATGAGATTAACAAATATCTGTGGAAGATTAGAGGTCTAGTGTTAGCTCAGTCCATTTCATTAATTATAAGACAAAATTGATCACAAACTCTTGAACAGAATGTGAAATATAGCAATGTAAAGGCACTTTTATTGCCAAAAGAACAACGAATCATGTGGTAAAAAGTAACAAAATGTCACGGCTGCTGAGGCGAGCCGTGTGGTGTTGGAGGAAAGGAGAACCCAAAATGCAGGTGATGACTGATGATTCGAGTGATGTTTATTTACAGGGTGGTGTAGTGGCAAAGAGGCAGTGAGGGATGACAAGGAACTAAACAAACCTAAACTGGAAAAAAAGGAGAGAGCGCACAGGTTTTAAGCCGGTGAGGCATGATTGTAGATGCAGTGAAGGTGAGTCCATCTCATCTGCAGCAGCATCGCAGACCACGGCCCGCCACAATAATAAAGCATTTTTTATTTAATTATAAATAAATTATTTCTCCTAATTATGTCCTGGGTTTTAAGTAATTAATAATACAAAAGGAAAAATCACAAAAAACACTTAAGGTCATGAAAATTAATTGCGATTTAGCAATTCAATGAGGCATCCACCTTATTTATTGAAAAGTATCGGTATTGGTATCGGCAATACTGGCCCGAATTTACTTGGTATCAGATCAATACCAAAATATGCAGTATCACACACCACTACTGGCCAGATCTGAGATTGATGCACTCCAGGGCCTCCCCAGAGGCTGGGTTTCAGCCCCCAGCTGACTCTGGACCCCTGGAACTTAAGAAGCCAGCTGAGGACTGCACCCGGCTGTCGCTGCCTGAGCAGAGTCAATGCTCCGCGCAGCTGCAGTCTGCTATGTGTTTGCCAGAGGCCCGTGTGCCTGCTGGTTCTGATCTGTTCCTGCCAGGGGACCCGAGGAGCCCGTCCAGCCTCCTGCTGACTGTCATGGTCCTGAGTCTGACGACTCAGTGTTTTGTGTTTCTTTATGCTTTTGTTTATCCTGAGTATGTATTCTGTTATGATTTACAGTTTGTTAGGTTTCTGTTCTTTGCTTACCCTGGTCCCACTTCTGTGTTCTGTCTGTTTATGGCGTCACACTGTCTGTTTGTGAATCTGTCTGTTTAGTTAGTTCAGTGTCTTGTCTGGTTCTGTGTCTGAGTTTCCTGTTTTATTCTGAAGGTCCCTGTCTCGTGTGAGTGTGTTCAGTTTACGCTTCCCCTGTCCCGTCACCTCTGACTTCTTCCAGGTGTGTTGTCCTCCTGTCTCTCATCCCCTGATTACTGCTGTGTGTATTTAAGCCCTGTGTGTTCTCCTGCCTGTTGCCGGTTCGTCTGTGTTCCACGGTGTCCTGTTCCGCGTCTGCCTCTCTCCCTGTTTCGTGTGTTCTCAGGTTTATTTAG